TGTGTGGCCTCGGGCAACTTACTCAAGTTTTCTATGCCTCACAGGGTGTGGTAAGGAGTCAGTGTGTTAATATGTGTAAAATACAAAGAACAGAGCTTGGCACACAGGGATATATAAACACCGTTCTCTTTTTTTTTTTTTTTTTCTCCTCTGCTGCTTTGAAAGGCATGGAGCCCTGTCTGGTCTGGCTCAGTGGCTAGAGCGTCGGCCTACAGACTGAAGGGTCCTGGGTTTGATTCCGGTCAAGGGCACATGTCCAGGTTTCGGGCTCGATCCCCAGGTGGGGGTATGCAGGAGGCTGCCGATCAATGCTTCTCTCTCATCATTGATGTTTCTATTTCTCTTTCCCTCTCCCTTTCTGAAATTATTAAAAATTTATTATTATTTTTTTAATCTTGAGAAGTATCCTATGAGAAAGGTACTATTTATTTTTTAAAAAAAATATCTTTTATTGATTTTTTTTACAGAGGAAGGGAGAGGAATAGAGAGTTAGAAACATCGATTAGAGAGAAACATCAATCAGCTGCCTCCTGCACACCTCCTACTGGGGATGTGCCCACAACCAAGGTACCTGCCCTTGACTGGAATCGAACCTGGGACACTTCAATCTGCAGGCTGTCTCTCTATCCACTGAGCCAAACCGGTTAGGGTAAAAAAATTTATTTTTTTAAATGAAAGGCAGGGATCTCCAGCACAGTGGGCCTGGCTCTGGCTCTTCATCTCACGGGAGCACTTTTAGCTCCTGGTTCCTCGCCACAGCCAGTCTCCTGCCCCCAGTCTGGACCCAGACCCTCAGGCTGTGCGCGCTCCCTACCCATTACTTCTAGTCTGTGCCCTTACTTTTCTTAGCTCAGATTTTTTCCATCATTGCTGTATGTTTGCAAGAGAAAGAGTCAACTGACTGCTGTCTCTTTAAAATCAAATCAAATTTATTTTATTTTTTCCATCACCATTTATCCCCGCTATGCCCTCTTCCACCTTCATCCACACCATTGACAGCTCTGTTGACCTACCGCCTCATTAAGTTATGTCATTGGTTAGACAGAGACAGTACCTTTCCCGCGTTTCTGAAGATTACGTTACGAGATAAAGGGTAAAAGCAGGGCGAGTTTGCTTTAGCCAGAGTTCTGAGCGCAGCAGATAACTGTCCTGGAAACCAGAGAGAGCCGCCACTCTGTGGGTTGCCAATGGCTTCCCCCAGCAGCTTTGTTCGGCCGGCCGAGAGTGTGGCACACATGTTAATTACAGAAAGTGTCTTTTTCCCTAAAGACTTGAAATGCAGAGAAACGGAAATGTGCTTGTATTTCCATTAAATGGCTTCCTTCTTGTCCCCAATCTTTTCAGCTTTTAGGTAAATCTGAATAAGAGATCTGACCTGCCCGGCCCAGCTGCACAACATTTCAAGTTCCTATTCCCACCTAGAGAGGAGCAGAGTACATAGGTATGTATTGGCCAGACTCTTGTCCAGTTTACTTCTTTTTGTTTTTTAATATATTTTATTGATTTTTTTACAGAGAGGAAGGGAGAGGGACAGAGAGTCAGAAACATCGATGAGAGAGAAACATCGATCAGCCGCCTCCTGCACACCCCCCACTGGGGATGTGCCTGCAACCATGGTACATGCCCCTGACCGGAACTGAACCCGGGACCCTTCAGTCCGAAGGCCGACACTCTATCCACTGAGCCAAACCGGCCAGGGCCAGTTTACTTCTTTTTAAAAAATAGATATTTTTATTGGTTTCAGAGAGGAAGGAAGAGGGAGAGAGAGATAGAAACATCCATGATGAGAGAGAATCATTGATCTGCTGCCTCCTGCAAGTCCCCCACTGGGGATCGAGCCCACAACCTGAGCATATGCCCTTGACCTTAATCAAACCTGGGACCTTTCAGTTTGCAGGCCAACGCTCTATCCACTGAGCCAAACCGGCTAGGGCTTGTCCAGTTTTACTTCTGCCACCTCCCCATGTTAGTTAGTAATGAGTGAAAGCAGGGAGGAAAGGACCTATTTTATTTTATTTTAATTTAATTTTTAAATATATTTGTATTGATTTCAGAGAGGAAGGGAGAGAGAGAAACATCAATGATGAGAGAGAATCATTGATCAGCTGTCACCTGCCCGCCCCTCACTGGGGATCAAGCCCGAAACCTGGTCATGTGCCCTTGACTGGAATCAAATTCAGGACCCTTCAGACTGCAGGCTGACACTATCCACTGAAGCCAAACCAGCTAGGGCTGTTTTATCTTTTTTATTTGATAAGTCTGCTCTGGACCAACAGGGAAACTGATGAAGCCATCTGCTGCTTTCTCTGTTCTCTTCCCGACAAAGGGAGCAAGAAAGCCCCTGTCTCAGGTCCATAGCGCCAGCGTCAGATCAGAGAAATTTTGGAGTTCCTGCTACACCTTGTTTTGAGCTCTTTCCTCACTAGACTTAAAGATCCATGTTAACAAGCTGAATCATCTTGGATGTTTGTTTCTCGTTGGCTTGACTGGCCCAGGTGGCAGGGCTCTGATGAGGTGAAGGACTGGAGCCATAGGTTGAATGCTGGCACTAACTGTAACCTTAGCCCTAACCCCTTGGAGAATTGATTAACTCTACAGACCCCCTCTCCAGAAAGTTGTGCATTACACAGACTGCCACAGGGTTCCTGGGCCCTAGAATCCTTTAGGGACCCACAGACTCCAAGTTAAGAATCCTGTTTTAGGCCTAGCTGGCATGGCTCAATGGTTGAGCATTGACCTATGAACCAGGAGATCATGGTTTGATTCCTGGTTGGGGCACATGCCCAGGTTACGGGATCAATCCCCAGTATGGGGCGTGCAGGAGGCAGCCGACCAATGATTCTCTCTCATCATTGATGCTTCTCTCTCTCTCCCTCTCCCTTCCTCTCTGAAATCAATAAAATATATATATTTTTTTTAAATTTATTTTTTATTTTTTAATTCTTTATTAGTTAAGGTATTACAAATGTGTCCTTATCCCCCCCATTAACCCCCATCCTCCCCCCCCCCGCCCACTCATGCTCTCATTCCCCTGTTGTCCATGTCCATTGGTTTATTTTATTTTATTTTATTTTATTTTTTAAGAATCCTGTTTTAGGAATTCATAAGCAGCTAGTCTGTAGGGGGGACATATCTCCAGAGGTTGAGTTTCAGGGAAACTGTCAGCTCTTAAAAGTTCAAAGGTGCCCTAACCGGTTTGGCTCAGTGGATAGAGCATCGGCCTGTGGACTGAAGGGTCCCAGGTTGGATTCCGGTCAAGGGCATGTACCTTGGTTGCGGGCACATCCCCAGTAGGAGGTGTGCAGGAGGCAGCTGACCGATGTTTCTAACTCTCTATCCCTCTTCCTTCCTCTCTGTAAAAAAAAAACCAATAAAATATATTTAAAAAAAAAAAAGTTCAAAGGTGGCTGCACTGAACGTGTAGTTAGCGGTCTAGCCTGGATGGGAAATCGTGTCAGATACATTTTTCAAAGTTGTTTTCTTGCCCTGATGGTGGACGGCGGGCGAAGGAGCTGCAAAGTTTGGTTGCCACCCTCACTGAGTCGGGAGCCCTGCCAGAGAGCAGTGTGGGTAGGTCCTGCATTTGCCAACGTCACCCTGAATTTAGAACAGGGCTCCTGCATCCCCTCTGGCCTTGCTGTGGGTCTCGAGAGAGTTCCTTCTGTTATGCCCCCAACCTGTCTTTGGAGGTTGTTTTGGCCGGCCTGTCCTGTTCTGCCTGCACGGGTGGCCACCAGAGCTCTTGTGCTGTTTTTAGCAGAGGCTACTGGAAGCCGTTCCAGGGGAAGCCGTTGCCATGGCTACCTTGGCTGGGAGAGTTCCCGTTTTCTCCTTTTTTGTTAGCTTGTGGTTTCCCTGATTTTTAAGGTGCCAGCTGATGTTCTGTTCTTTTGCTAAGCAGCAAGGAAAAGACTGGATTTTTGTTGCTTTTGTTGTTGATGTTCGTTTTGTGTGTGGAGGTATGTGCACTCGCATGTGTGTCTTGGATATGAGCTAAAGCTACCTCAGAAAATGAACTATCAGGAGAGCTTGGGCAAAGCCAGATGTACAGACGTAGTTTTCTTACTCCAGTTTTTAGTTTTTTGTTTTTTAAAAAATATATTTTATTGATTTTTTACAGAGAGGAAGGGAGAGGGATAGAGAGTTAGAAACATCGATGCGAGAGAAACATTGATCAGCTGCCCCCTGCACACCCCCCAGTGGGGATGTGCCCGCAACTAAGGCACATGCCCTTGACTGGAATCGAACCCGGGACCCTTCAGTCCGCAGGCCAACGCTCTATCCACTGAGCCAAACCGGTCAGGGCTCCAGTTTTTAGTTTTGGCTTAGCGATTGACTGTGATTCGCTTTTAGCCTCTTTTGTAACCGCAGGGGGCAAATTTTCTGAGCTTCCTTCCCCAGGAGCAGGGATCCCTGCCACTTGGGCTGGGTCTGAACTTTACACCAGTGCCCTGAGGAGCAGATGGCCAGTCAGGCCCAGGTGGCTTTATCTCATTCTGCTCTAAAAATAGAGAGGGGGGGCCAGCAGGCAGTACAGCCACACCTGGGGGCCATCGCAGTCCCATGTCACATCTGTGTCCCCGCTGTAAACGGGGCCCTTCACACACCTGGTGCACCACCTGTGGGTTAAGTGGAGGGATCCGAGGCTCCTGTGCACAGACCTCAGGGTGCCCCTCTCGGTGCCACTTGTCCTCTCTGGTGCCTTCTTTCTCCCACTCCCCGAAGGCTCCTATTCTCAGCATTTTCCAGTTTGCTTATCTTAGAAGCTTCATTAAATTTAAATAAAACAACACCCTACCCAGCTTATCAGTGCTCAGGACTGTTTGTGACTTGGGGTGTTGCCAGTCCATGGGAGGCCGCGGGGTGCTGATGGCAGGCCACCTGGGCGGGCCCGGGGGACACACCTGGATAGGACATGCCACCGCGGGGTTTGCCGCCTCGCGTGCGGGCCCCACCCGCCTCCCTGAGCTCGGAAGCTAAGCCTGTGCCTCTGCTCCCAGGTCACGATGAATGCCATGCTGGAGACCCCCGAGCTGCCGGCCGTGTTTGACGGGGTGAAGCTGGCCGCGGTGGCCGCCGTGCTGTACGTGATCGTCCGCTGTCTGAACCTGAAGAGCCCCACCGCCCCGCCTGACCTCTACTTCCAGGACTCAGGGCTCTCGCGCTTTCTGCTCAAGTCCTGTCCTCTCCTGACCAAAGAGTGAGTAGACCTCTCGCCTGCCGTAGGCCCGCCTGCTGAGCTGTTTGGCTTGAGCGATGTTCAGAGATCCTTCTCCCATGTGTCTTCAAGGCCACCATGTAAAACGGTGTCGTGGCTGACAAAATAGCCACAGTCTCCATGGAAGTCTGTGTTTTGAATGCCGGAGGGTAGGAGACAGAATCCGACCTTGGTTGCCTGGAGTCATCATTCATGACAAGGACTTTGTAGAAAACGGCGGTCATTTATTTTTAGGGAGATACAGAAAACTTGGACAACATTCTAGACCTTTATCAAATGGTCTGTTGCCAGTACTGAAAAACTATCCTTACCCCAAATCTATAATAATAAAAGCATAGTATGCTAATTAGACCGGACAGCCGAACAGCGGAACGACCGTCTGGACGACCTTCCAGATGAAGCCGGGGCTGTGAGGGCTGAGGCAGCCACTGGGGCTGCAAGGGCCGAGCCCCTTGCACAAATTTCGTGCACTGGGCCTCTAGTTAATAAATTAAAAAGCATAGATTTATGAGTTGGGTACTCTCCATCTCTCTTATTGAAAAGTGGGCTGACGTTGGCTAAGAGGATCCACCGCCTAAATAGAATGCCTTCATTCCAAATGAGCCAGGGGTCCCTGTAACAGGCCAGGTCTATATATTGGGTGAGCACTGCTTCTGGGACAGGAAACCAGACTCGTAAAGCATGCATTTTATGTCACACAGACGGTTTTCTTTTTTTAATATATTTTTATTGATTTCAGAGAGGAAGGGAGAGGGAGAGAGAGAGAGAGAAACATCAATGATGAGAGAGTTTCATGGATCGGTTGCCTCCTGCACATCCCACACACGGGATCCAGCCCGCAACCCGGGCATGTGCCCTGACCAGGAATCGAACCATGACCTCCTGGTTCGTAGATCGACGCTCAACCATTGAGCCACACCGCTGGGCACACGGACTGTTTCCAAGAGGCATGTGGTTAAATGTTTTCCTGTTGAGGTCTTCATAATAACCGTGTCTTCCTTCAGGGCTCGGGCCAAGCCTCATGCATGAAGCATTCCATGTGCTCCCGGGTCTGGATGCCCCCCTTTCTCCTCATTGCTCTTCACTCTGGGCCTCTTTAAGCTGAATCCATCCTGCCGGGTGCGCCTCATCAGGCGGAAGCTGCTGGGGGGCTGAATATTCACACTGTGCCCCTCAGCGTGTGACCATATTCAGTGGAGTGTCTAGTGCTCAGCGGGTACTAGCAGCCCGCTATCCTGATACGATCTCTCCCACCTCGGTGGGGGTTGGTGACACTGAGTGAATGACTCGCCTCTAAGAGCAGGCAGATGTGTGACAGACACGTCGGAGAACTTGGACTCTTGCTTGTCTCGTTTGACCGTCCAGTTCATTTTCACATGCTGTTCGCCACGGGTGAAGAGCCGTGTGGGCTTCGGGTGTTTTGTACGTTTGTGTGCAATTTCCTCGTTGTTGTCACAGTGATGTCATGACCCAAAAGTTACTATTAAGTCGAAAGAGACCTGTACCTGGATTGTGTTGCCTGATACTTGTGGAGTGCCACGTGCAATGTGATGTCACCACGCTGAGTTTGGAACCGCCCCGCTGAGGGGGCTCCATCCCAATGGCTCCACACCGGAAGGTGGTGCACAGAAATCTGTATGCTTTTCAAATTGTCCAGCTTTTTTTCTTTCCAATTCTTAATGTAGATACTTCACTAATCTGGACTGGCAGCTAACACTTGCACCCATTTTCAGACTCAGTGGGACCCAGTTCCTCGGCCATCTCGTGTAGAGCTTTTGGAAAGCTAGGTGTTCAATCCCTATAAGTTTATATCGAGGTGACTGTAAATTTCCACACACCATTGGGTCCTGGTGATCAGAGGGAACCGTGGAAAAGCTGCTATTTGTCCACGCTCCTGAGAAACATCACATAAAGTCTGATTCTATACTAGTAGCTCACAAAGCTAATTATGGCAGCTTTTGTGTGTGTTTTTATGCCTTTTAAAGTATATATATATATATTATTTATTTTTTACAGAGAGGAAGGGAGAGAGGTAGAGAGTTAGAAACATCAATGAGAGAGAAACATCGATCAGCTGCCTCCTGACATCTCCCACTGGGGATGTGCCCGCAACCAAGGTACATGCCCTTGACCGGAATCGAACCCGGGACCCTTCAGTCTGCAGGCTGACGCTCTATCCACAGAGCCAAACCGGTTTTGGCTTTTATGCCTTTTTAAAAATATATATTTTCATTGACTTCAAAGAGGAAGGGAGAGGGAGAGAGAGATAGAAACATCCATGAGGAGAGAGAATCATTGATCAGCTGCCTCCTGCACACCCACCACTGGGGATTGAGCCCGCAACCCCGGCATGTGCCCTGACCTGGAATCGAACCCAGGACCCTTCAGTCCACAGGCTGACGCTCTATCCACTAAGCCAAACCAACTAGGGCTTACCTCTTTTCTTGTTTTCCTTTAAAAAAAAAAAAGAACCCAGAGTCATTAAGTCTAATGATTTCCCTTTGCCTCACAGGCATTATGTCTTTTAATCCTCTTAACAACTTTGAGGTTAGATTCCTTTTCCTTTCATACTTAAGGATAGGGAAACAGTAGCAGAGAGGAAAAGTGAACCCAAGTTTGTGACTCTGGACTTGGTTCCCTTCCTATCCATGGGGAGGGGGACAGAGACTGTTCTCGGGGTGCAGGTGAGGGAAGCGGCGGCGGGCAGCCAGGGGCCATCCTTAATGCATCTTCCGAGTGACCCTCTTTCTATTTCACTCCCTCTGTTGGAAGCCACTGTCCTCCATGCTCTTTCTCAGTCTTGTGTTTCTGTCATAGCCTCCCATCTATTTGAAGCTGAGGGCAGGAAGTACGTCTGTTAGGGGTAAAAGCGTTTCTCCGGCGACTTTGAAGATTTTTTTTCTAGAGGAAACCTGTCTGCAGCCTGCACCAGCCATGGTCTGGTCTGGAAAGTGCAGCTAGCTGCCCTTGCTGGTGCGGCTCAGTGGTTAGAGCATCAGCCTGGGGACTGAAAGGTCCTGGGTTCGATTCCAGTCAAGGGCACATGCCCGGGTTGTAGGCTCGATCCCCAGTGTGGGGTGTGCAGGAGGCAGCCGATCAATGATTCTCACTCATCATTGATGTTTCTATCTCTCTCTCCCTCTCCCTTCCTCTCTGAAATCAAATATATATATATATATATATATATGTAAAGAAAGAGCCCTAACCGGTGTGGCTCAGCGGATAGAGCGTCGGCCTGCGGACTGAAAGGTCCCAAGTTCAATTCCGGTCAAGGGCATGTACCTGGGTTGTGGGTATATCCCCAGTGGGGGGCGTGCAGGAGGCAGCTGATCGATGTTTCTCTCTCATCGATGTTTCTCTCTATCCCTCTCCCTCTCCCTTCCTCTCTGTAAAAAATCAATAAAATATATTTAAAAAAAAAGAAAGAAAGTGCAGCTAGCTGGTTTACAACAGGCTGATGGCGTTACTCAGTAACCCTGACTGAAGCGGCCCGTGGTTATGAGTTATGTGCGGAATCAGAACATTTCCGCTTGCTGTTCTGTAATAAAAATAAAAAAAAACTGGATGAAAGGTGAACAGTAAAAACAGGAGAAAGGGTTGTTTTTTTTCCCCCCTGTCAGCATTCTAGTCAGTTTTTAAACCTGTCGTAAGGTAATCTGTCCTTAGGAATGAACCTTTTTAATGTCTGGAGGAAAACTCGGCTTAGATGGGGCGACGTGTTTCTTGTTCACTTAGCAACAGATCAATATTTACCTAGTGATTCATTTCTGATTCTCAAGACGTGTTTGCTTTCAGCGAAAACCACAGGCTAAAAGCTCAGTTCAGAATTAGGAGAAAATGTCGGTGACGATGCGAATCTCCATTTTTTTTTCTCTGAATAAAAAATTGAATGCATATTCATTTTTTTGAGCCGTCACTATAGTAAAATGCACAGACCTTAAGTGGACAGCTCAGGGCCTTCTGATAGGTACTCGCCCGTGCACCTACCATCCCCTTGGGTTTTTACAGGAGTTTCCCGGGTCACTTCCTCTGACCTCACCGGTCACAATGCCACCGGAGTGGCTTCCTCAAGCAGGCCAGCACCTAGGCACGCAACAGCGTGACCCCACCGCCTGCCCAGCCCCACAACCTGGCCTGCTCTCATTGCCCTGAAGTGCCAGCCCCCTGGCCACCCCCAATCCCCTCCTTTCTCTCTGCACTCTCTGCACCAAAATACCACTTATCCTGTAATTGAACTTCAATAGCATGACTTCTGAGAAACTTCCCCTGACTTCCCCTACTCCTCGGTCAGAGGAGCCCCTTTTTCTTCTGTCTACTGGTGTTTCCCCAGCATGTAGCTTCCATGTCCGGTTAGCTCATCCACCCTCTTTTATGGGAATTTGTGTCTGTCTCTTTTCTATCAGGAGAGCACACGTACCCCAAATCAAGAGCCACACTCTTTTTTTAAAAATATTTTTTATTCAGAGAGAGAGAGAGAAACATCAATGATGAGAGAGAATCATGGATCGGCTGCCTCCTGCACTCCCCCTATTGGGGATCAAGCCTGCAACCCGGGCATGTGCCCTGACTGGGAATCGAACCCAGGACCCTTCAGTCCACAGGCCAACGCTCTATCCACTGAGCCAAACCAGCCAGGGCCATGAGAGCTTTCATAGGAGAAACTTACATACAGGGGCAAAGAAGCTGCTGCCAGTGGTGCCTGGCGGGAGGCATCTACCCCTTCCCAGGGTAGGGTCCCTTTTTATAGGGGGTTCAGAGTAGAACCGTGTGCCCCCCAAAACACTATATATAGTCACTCTGTGCATTCATTAACCTCCTTCCTTCGGGCGCTTTCTGTAGCCCGAGGCTACAGAGCGTTAAACAAGAGTCCGGCATTTCCCAGACGCCTTTGCTGCCGGAGCCATATTGCACCTAAAGTGAGTTCCTGCAGCCAGTTTCCTGCCGGGAGTCTCCCATTAGTCTTGGTTAATGAACATTTGAGG